AGGAAGTGATCTCTTCAAATCAATATTAACTTGAGACATAGAGAAGGTAAAGGTTTTCCCCTGACATAAAGTCTAGTTGTGTCCGAGTCTGGGGTGTGGTGCTTATCTCCATTTCTAAGCCAAAGAGTTGGCATTGTCCGTAGACACCTCCAAAGTCATGTTGCCAGCATGACTGCATGGAGCACTGTTACCTTCCCACCGGAGCAGTACCTATTGATCTACTCACATTTGCATGTTTTCAAACTGCTAGGTTGACAGAAGCTGGGGCTGTCAGTGGAAGCTCATGCTGCTTCCTGGATTCAAACCAGTGACCTTTCAGTCAACAAGCTCAGCAGCTCAGTGGTTTAACCTACTGTACCACTGGGGGCTCCCGACATAGAGAAAGAGGGAAATATTTATGAGATTGCTTCATGCAGATGCAGACTCTTGCTTCATGTAAAAGCAAGGGCCACATAGATCTGGCTGGATATATGGAAGGGAAAGCAATGAATTCAGACTGATTAGTAGGCATGTGTAAAATAATCAAAAGAGTCAGAAATCGTAAGAGTCCAACATCATAAGAAACTTGGAAGTTTTGTAAGTCGGAAGCCATATCCGAAGCGTTTGCATGGCCTACACCAAATATTTTAAGAACCCCGCGGTGGCACAGTGGGTTAAATCCCTGTGCCAGCAGGACTGAAGACCGACAGGTCACAGGTTCGGATCTGGGGGGAGGCGGATGAGCTCCCTCTATCAGCTCCAGCTCCTCATGTGGGGACATGAAAGAAGCCTCCCACAAGGATGATAAAAACATCAAATCATCCAGGCGTCCCCTGGGCAATGTCCTTGCAGACAGCCAATTCTCTCACACCAGAAGCGACTTGCAGTTTCTCAAGTCGCTCCTGACATGACAAAAAAAAAACAAACAAGGAAGCAAAACCATTAAGACAAAAAGGTTGCCTGGTACCTGCCTTAGTGCCTGCCTTGCCATTCCTCTCCCTGGAATTAATGGCATCTCCTCTCCGCATTAGTGGTGAAAAGAGGGAGCAGTGCATTTTGGGAAGGGAGGAGCCCTATGCCAAAAAATTCAAAAGGCCCTGTCCTAAACTACATTTCCCAGACTGCATCAACATCAGAAAGCACCAATCAGGATGGCAGAGAGAGGTCTGTCCCTCTCTAAAACTTGGAAATTCGCCAAAAATCTGTGTATAAGTGAAAAATTCTGAAATTTGGTGGGCTAACAGTGGTAAATGTGTTCTACCATTGTAGCAAGTTTCACCACAATAGCTTTAAAAATGAGAGAGAGAGGAGCCCCTGAAGGTTCCCCAATTATAGTAATCAATGTGTGCGCGCAATTACTATAATGAAGTAATAATGAAATTTCGTCATGAATTTTTCTCCAAGTGCGATTAAGAAACAATTTAGAAATGAAGCACCAGCCTCCCCCTTTTGTAATGAAATTTGAACCTTTTTTAATGGATTGCACATCCCTACTGATTAACTCCCAACATCAAACAGAATAGGATGGCTTGCAGCATTTAGGTCCCTATCTTCTGAACTATATGTGGAAGTCTGAAGTTTTAAATGAAAGGAAAGTGGAAGAAATATACCCTTTCCCTCTTTTTCTGGGCCTTATGTACTATGATATTGGAAAACCACACAAATAAATACAAAGGCCATCTGGAAACAACCAGTTCTGACCTCTGGAAAGAGCAATTTGTCCCTCCTCTGACAGTCAACAGGAGAAAGAAAGGGGGGGAAAATCAGAGGCAAGGATCAGAATGAGAAAGAGAAGAGAGGGGTAGAGATTATACATAAAGAAGGTTGTTCATGTTTAGAATGGAACATGAGAGTAATATAGAGAAAGTCCAAGAAAAGATGGGAATGGTGTATCAGAGAAGGAAGAGGAAGAGATGGGGTGGCAGGAAATTAAAGTGAACTCACTTCTGGCTGTGACCACCATTACTGGCATGCTGCTATTGAGAAGATTCCCTGAAGCAGGGATAGGGAAAATGTGCCCCTATAGCGCCATGTTTCTCCAGGCTTCCCAAAGTCCTTCACAAGAATGGTTTGCCATTTGTAGTGACCTAGGATGCAACAAGGTGGCCCTTACAATAGCTCCTGTCCTTCAAAGGGAACTCACTTCACCCACTATAGGGCCTGTTGAATTTTTCTGTTACCAATGTGAGCTGAGCCTAATAATGGATAACACAAGAAAATGGGAAAGTAATGGTTCCTTAAAGGTTTCTCCTTGATATTGAGTCCAGTCATGTCCAACTCTGGGGGTTGGTGCTCATCTCCATTTCTAAGCCAAAGAGCAGGAGTTGTCCCTAGAAGACTGCATGGAGCGCCTTACCTTCTGCAGTACCTATTGATCTACTCACATTTGCATGTTTTTGAGCTGCTAGTTAGCAGAAACTGGGCCTTTTGGTCAGCAAGTTCAGCAGCTCAGCAGTTCCGTATCCCTGAGCTGAAGTTGTCAGCAGAAGGAGTCTTCTTGTGTGCTAGGGTGTACTGTAACCATATTTAACATTGAGCATGGGATATGGATTTTAAGCTATTTGTAGGCAATTTTGAAAATCCAGCTAGTCCCATGAACACTTGTAATTCACAAGTCTTGAGAAACCATGAGGTTTGTATGTATGTACACACATACAGAGGCCCTAGGAAATAAGCCCTCCTTGATATACTTAGAAGGATTTATTTTTGGGAATATCTGGGACAGGACTGGGCTGTTACACCTTTTGTTTTGCATGAAGTTTGTGTTGGAAATAGCAACCTTCTTCAAGCCTCCACTAGTAATTTGTTATAATTGAGATTGCTTACTGTATTTGTATATGTGTGTATTGGTATGCAGTTTTCCTTTAACTCTATGTTGTGGGAGGGGCTATCAGATCTGGGACTTCTTCAGATCTCAGACTCCATTTTGAAATGTGGAAACAGAATGTTTTATAGAGCAGTGGTTCTCAACCTGGAGTCCCCATATGTTTTTGGCCTACAACTCCCAGAAACCCCAGCCAGTTTACCAGCTGTTAGGATCTCTGGGAGTTGTAGGCCAAAAACATCTGGGGACTCCAGGTTGAGAACCACTGGAGTAGAGACTCTCAGAATAGAGAGATGCTTTAGACTTTGAACTGTTGATTAAGAAAAATGCTCTGTGTTATTTGCACAGAGAAACTACTTCAAATTTATCTGTAACTGGATTGATAGGCAATATACCTGTATGCTCAATACATGAAGTTTGTAAGTAAACCAACTATGTTATTTTAACAAAGATTACTCTATTTTTGATCTCTTGAGAGCATGATTTAAACCAAGATGTTTTAAGGGAGAATAGAATTTTTTTGGGGCCATTGAAATAACACTTCTGAAACTGCTGTCTTTTGTGCATTAGCACATCTTTGTTCCTAACAAGCTATATCTAGGTATATCAGTCCAACGGCTGAGAAACTTAATTGCCTTGCATGAACACTAGTGCCTTGCCTTGCATGAATACACAACTCCAAAATTCAAGGTGAATGCCCACCAAACCCTTCCAGTGTTTTCTGTTGGTCATGGGAGTCCTGTGTGCCAAGTTTGGTTCAATTCCATCGTTGGTGGAGTTCAGAATGTTTTTGGTTGTAGGTGAACTATATATCCCCGGCAACTACAACTCCCAAATGACAAAATCAATTTTTGAGTGATGGTCACTCCTTGCATTATTAGGTGTCTTGTGTCCAAATTTGGTGTCAATTCGTCCAGGGGTTTTTGAATTCTGTTAATCCCACAAACGGACATTACATTTTTATTTATATAGAAGACTAGCTGTGCCCTGCCATGTTCTGGAGTGAGAGATAATCTGGACTATTATGAAAGAGAGGTACTACCTACCTATTCCTCCCCCCCCCCCCGCCCTTTTCTTCCCTTCCCCTTTCTCTCCTTTCTTCCTTCTCTACCTCTTTCTTTCATTCCTTCTTTCGCTCTTTAGTTTCATCCTTCCTTCTCTCTTTCCTCACCCTTTCTCTATTTCTTTGTCTCCTTTCTTCCTTCCCCTTCTTCCTTCCTTCTTTCCTTCCTCTTCTTCCTTCTTTCTTTCCTCCTTCCTTCCCTCCTTTCTCTTTCCTTCCTTCCCCCTTTCCCTCCTTCATTCCTTCCCTCCCTCCTTTCTTCTCTCCTTCCTTCCTATCTGTTCTCCCCCAATATCATGGTACACTCCCTTCTAACTCTATTCTGAGTCTATTTAATATAGCAATATATAATAGTAACATTATATTATGTGTGTGAGTGTGTTTGTGTGTGTGTGATATATAAAGTATTGTGATATATATATATATATATATATATAGAGAGAGAGAGAGAGAGAGAGAGAGAGCCAGCCAGTCATCCAACATTCATTCATAAATGTGTGTGTGTGTGTGTCTACACTGCCATATAATCCAGTTCTATGTAGATAATCTGGATTTTACATGGCAGTGTGAGAGGGGTGACTTTGGGTGCACCTACACTGCAGATTTAATAAAGGAGAATGAAGCTGGCGAGGGGAGGAGAAAAAGGAAGGAAAGAATGGGAGGAAGGAAGGAAAGGGAGGGAAGGAAAGAAAGGGAGGGAGGGAAAGAAGGAAAGGAAGGAGGATGGAAGGGAAGTAGAGAAAAGGAGGAAGGGAAAGAAGGAGGGAGGGAAGGAGGGGTTGGATTGGATGGGCTTTAAGGCTCTCTTCCAATTGATTGGCCACCTGTTGTGAATTTTAAATGTATTTGTGTTGGTTTTGTGTGGGTTTTTTTCAGTGATGGTCACTCCTTGGATTGTGAGGAGCTTTGGTGCCAAATTTGGGGTCATTTGGCCCATAGAAGTGCGACCCATTCTTTCCTTTTTGTTTTGCAAGAAGTTCGACTCATTCTTTCCTTTCTCAAGCAAACTGCTTCTTGCCTTGACCTCTTTTATTTAAATAAATATAAATACAACTCTGATTGTTATTTTTTTTAAAAAAAAAAATCACAAACGAGAAAACCGAAACCACTTTAATTCGGATTCTACCCCTTCATAACTATCCCTCCCCTCCAAAATAAGAAAACCCTGCAAAGTTTATATACAGATCTGTACAAAAAAAGGAGTCTTATCCTTCCTCATCGTCATGGCCATTTGAAATGTTGGGAAGGAGAAAGGGAGGGAAAAAAGAACTTCTTCTGGGGCTGCTTTTCAACAGAGGCTGGATGGCCATCTGTCGGGGGTGCTTTGAATGCTTCTTGGCAGGGGGGTGGACTGGATGGCCCATGAGTTCTCTTCCAACTTTATGATTCTATGACTGTGTCAGACAGTTCAGAACCGGAGGGGCAAAGACTCATGGCTTGGTTGGTCTGAGCCGAAGGGGCTTCTCACAAGGGGGAGGCCTCCTTGTCCTCGCTGGCGGAGGCGGGCGAGAGGGAGTCCTCGTCCTCGGAGCGCGGGTACCGGCCCGGGTTGCCGGTGCAGCTGCATCCGCCGTGGGTGTTGCGCTGGGCGCCTTTGCCCTCTTTCTTGTGCTTCACCCTCCGGTTCTGGAACCAGATCTTGACCTGCTTCTCGGACAGGTTGAGGTACGTGGCGATCTTGATGCGCCGCAGCCGCGAGAGGTACATGTTGGAGGAGAACTCCCGCTCCAGCTCCAGCAGCTGCGTGCTCGTGAAGGCCGTCCGCATCCGCTTCCCGTTTTGCAGCGGGCCCGTCCCGTCCGAAGCGCCTGGGTCGAGAGAAGAGATCAAAAGACTCTAGTTAGAAAGCGGGCGAGGAAGAATGAAGACTCCCCCAAACCTCCAGCCCCTTCCAACACTCAGAGCGCCTCTCTCACTAGTCAGGCACTGAGAGTATGCCAAAGTTACTACAAGCCTTCGACAATACATAGTTCCTACAACAAGAGAATGGAGTACAGTTTCACACTACATGGCAGTCCAAGGATGCATCAGTGAACGAGATATGCCCGCTTACAAGGTGCAGGTTCTTACCTACAAAGCCCTGAACAGTTTGGGACCTGCCTAATAGACCGTATTTCTATTTATGAACCCTCTTCCATAGTCTGGAGAGGCCCTTCTCTCGCTCTCCGAGGGAGAGGGCCTTCTCTGTGGTGGCCCCTCCACTCTGGAACTCGTTCCCTAAGGATATTAGGCAAGCCCCCTCATTGGCAGTCTTTAGGAGGAGCTTGAAAACTTGTTCCAATGTGCCTTCCCTGAAGGAAAGATGAATAATTCCCTGATCTGACCAGGCCCTTAGCTAGGATTTTGATTGGGGGGGCTGAGTCTGAGTGAAAGAGGGTCTACCCTAGCAGGCATGTAGCGGGGGAGGGGGCTTGAGGGGCTTCAGCCCCCCCCCCCCCCCCCGAAATTCTGAGGGATAAGATAACAGCCTTAAAGGTAAAGGTAAAGGTAGTCCCCTGACATTAAGTCCAGTCATGTCTGACTCTGGGGTGTGCTGCTCATCTCCATTTCTAAGCCGAAGAGCCAGCGTTGTCCGTAGACACCTCCAAGGTCATGTGGCCAGTATGACTGCATGTACTTACTGGTACATTATTTAAACTGTTATGTTAATTCATATCATGATGTGATCACCATACTCAATATATCCCATATGCATGGGGGTATTGGGGTAACGATACAAAAGGTTTGCTAGGGTAGACCCTCTTTCACTCAGACTCAGCCCCCCCCCCCCAATCAAATCCTGGCTACGGGCCTGTACCCTAGCAAACCTTTTGTATCATTACCCCAATACCCCCATGCATATGGGATATATCAGGGGTCCTTAAACTAAGGCCCATTGAAAAACTAATAAGTTTATATTTGTTAAAATTGTTCTTCATTTTAATTATTGTATTGTTTTTAAGTGTTTTTTGCACTACAAATAAGATATGTGCAGTGTGCATAGGAATTCATTCTTTTTTTTTTTCCAAATTATAATCCGGCCCTCCAACAGTTTGAGGGACTGTGACCTGGCCCTCTGTTTAAAAAGTTTGAGGACCCCTGGTTTAACCCATTGCACCATGAGGCTCTTGTGATCAGGGTCATGTGGTGAGTTTCCATGACTTTGTGGGAATTTATATCCTAGTCTTCCTGAGTCTTAGGACAAAACTCAAACTTGGTCCCCTTGCCAGAATATCACCACCATACTGACGCCTTTCTGTCACAAGCTTTGTGGGAAATTGCAACTTCTTCAAGCCTTCTCTACTAATGTTTATCTGTGATATTGTTGCTGGCTGTTTCCTGTATGTATGTTTTGGTATGCAGCTTCCTTAACTCTATGGTTTCTGAGGCCCCTTCTACACAGCTGAATAAAATCTCCCATTTTCTGCTTTGAACTGGAATATATGGCAGTGTGGACTCAGATAACCCAGTTCAAAGTAGATATTGTGGGATTTTCTGCCTTGATATTCTGGGATCTAGGGCTGTGTGGAAGGGCCCTTGGAGAAGTTATAAAAGGGGCTGCAGACCACATTTTCTCTTCTCTCTCTCCTTTTGTCTAGGGGCCCTTCCACACAGGTCTATATTCCAGAATATCAAGGCAGAAAATTCCACAATATCTACTTTGAATTGGAATATATGGAAGTGTGGACTCAGATAACCTAAGGACTTTCCACACAGCCCTATATCCCAGAATATCAAGGCAGAAAATCCCACATTGTCTGAGTGTGGACTCAGATAACCCAGTTCAAAGCAGATATTGTGGAATTTTCTGCCTGATATTCTGGGTTATAAGGCTGTGTGGAAGAGCCCGGAGAATGTGACCTGTTGATAGCTGTTTTGTTATAAGAGAGATGCCCTGGCCGGATGGCACAGAGAATTATCTCAAACATATCTGAAACTGGACGAATAAGTTTTTGTACCTGTGTTATGCTGAACACATGAAGGTTGTGAATAAACAAAATATGTTATTTTTATCCAAGTCTTCTTCATTTTTGTCTCTTGGGTGTATGGGGGCAAGGGACAGGGTCTTCTCAGTGGTGGCCCCTTGGCTGTGGAACTTCATTCCCAGTGAAATTAGATCAGGCCTCTCCCTCCTATCCTTTAGAAAACAAGTTAAAACCTGGTTTGGAGAGTAGCACAGGGATATATACAGCTAGGAAGTGAATGGCAATGTGATTGGAATAGCTTCCGGATTATGATTTTAGTCTATGTGTAATCTTTTAACATCTTATATGCTAGTGTTTCATGGTTTTCATGATATAACACACAATGTATATTATGTTTTGTTTGTCTTATGTTCACATGGAAGCGAATTATTGCCAGTTTGGAAGCCGCTCTAAATCCCCTTGGGGTACAGTAAATAAATAAACAAATGATATAAAACAAGTTGTTTTATAGGAGATTATATATAATTTGGGTGCTGAAAAGCACTTCTGAAGCACTGCTGTTTTTAATGCACTGGCAAATCTTTCTTTTCCTAACAGATCAGAAATAACAGGTTATTCAGTCTAACAACTGAAACCATTGCCTTGCATAATTATACCTAGTTATATACCACAAGAGAAGATTCTACTCAAAGGGGTTTTTGCCTCTTCTCTTCTTATGGTCTCCAAAAAGTGTTTTTGGAGTCCATAACCGCTTTGAGTCCCCCCAGGGGTGAGAAAGGCGGTATATAAATGCTGTAAATAAATAAATAAATTATAAATGTTTTTCCAGAATTGCTAAAAAGGATGCCATCTTGCAATGGAGTACAACTCCCAGAATCCCCTACTGCGTGGCCATTGCCTAGATCAGGCATGGGTGACTTTGAGGGTTATGAGTGCAATGTTCTTCCCTTAACTCAGGAACTGCCAAGAATATGTCTGTCTGTGTATCTCCAAGCTCAATATTTTCACTGTGAAGTACACATAAGTAGCACAAGCGTGGGGCATGAAAGACTGAATGCAGAGAGCTGCAGTCTATTTGGAGTGTGAATTGCTACTCCAGGAAGCTTCTAGGAGAGGAAGTTTGCCTCCCTCTTTTATTGTTGTTGCTGTTGTTACAAAGTAGGGCATGCTTTCTAAATTAGTTGGGGTTCCAGAGCCAGGAAAACACTCTTTTGGCCTCACTGCATGCATGTTTGGCTAGATGTAAAACTAATAGAGCCCTGGCCAATGACAAGGAGGTGGGGGGGGATATAAGAATGTCTAATATTTCTAAAGGATTTGTAATTCTATAAATGGATTTCATAGTGTTGTCAAAACATGTGTTTTAGTCTAGATCTGTCTAAGATCTTATACTTTGCCTTAGGTCCTAGTATTATGGGAAAGGTGTTTTCCCATGTTTGATCAGATAGAGGAGGCCCTGCCAATTTAGACAATTCAGGTCTATGCAGTTCAATGCTGGACTTACGAACATGCTAAATCTGCTAAAGTGCCCAGAAACTATTTACTATTTCAAGCCATTAGATGGTTGTTTTTATACTGTGTTGTGTTGTTGTTGTTTTATATTGTTTTACGATGTCTATTTTCATTATGTTGATATTTTAACTATGTTGACTGGGTTTGTCCCCATGTAAGCCACCCCAGTCCCTTGGGGAGATGGAGAGGGGATACAAAAATAAAATTGTTGTTGCTGCTGCTGCTGCTGCTGTTACACCTACATTAATCTAGAGTACCTCTGAGAACTGCAGAGAGTCCAATCCTCCTGTCACCCCCCCCCTGGATTGCTGCTGATCAGACCAAGGCTGGATATACACACTGCCAAATAATGGAGTCTGAACTGCATGATGAAGTCAGTGTGTAGTCCCATATAAGACAATTCTATTGGGAACACTCCTGCAGGGGCCTAAAAAGGTAAAGGTTGTCCCCTGACATTACCCAAAAGCACCAGGTTCCATCTTGGAAGATAAATCCTTGAACATGAAACCATACCATTATCTCGGAGAAAGGAACTGGCAAAACTACCTTTAGGTGTTTCTTGTCTAAGGCCCCTTCTTCATTGCCATATAATCCAGATTATAAAATCAGATAATCCACATTATCTGCTATGAACTGGATTATATGACCATATAATCATATAATCCAGTTCAAAGCAGATAATCTGGATTTTATATGACAGTGTAGAAGGGGCCTAAGGATACCCCATAAAATGTCTGGGGTCACCATAGGTCGCCAACAACCTGAAGGTACAGTCAGACACACCCTTCTGATGGATAATGCCTGCATTAAAGAAAAACCTTATGATGGTAATTATTATGTGCAGCTGGTAATGTAGGTCAGCCAGGATTGGGCCACACCTCGGCCGTTGGGGTATAACTGTATGGGTTTTAGAATACATTTCAGCTTTTGCTCTGAGAAGCTCAATGCTCAAAGGCTTTGCTCAGGAGAGCAGTTTGAAGAAGCTGTTATGCTACTCTGAAGAAGGCTATGGTGGAATAGCTATTTACTCAAGGTTTATGTTTTGCTCTCTCATTTGATTGAAGATTAATTAGATTAATTAATTAATTAGATTAATTAATTTGATTGAAGATTGATTAGGAGCCCTCAGTGGCGCAGTGGGTTAAAGTGCTGAGCTGCTGAGCTTGTTGATCAAAAGGTTGCAGGTTCGATTCCGGGGAGCAGCGTGAGCTTCCGCTGTCAGCCCTAGCTTCTGCCAACCTAGCAGTTTGAAAACATGCAAATGTGAGTAGATCAATAGGTACTGCTCCAGCGGGAAGGTAACGGCGCTCCATGCAGTCATGCCGGCCACATGACCTTGGAGGTGTCTGTGGACAACTCCGGCTCTTCAGCTTAGAAATGGAGATGAGCACCACACCCCAGAGTCAGACATGACTGGACTTAATGTCAGGGGACAACCTTTACCTTTACTTTGATTGAAGATGAAGATGCCTTATTCTATATTTATTACAAGGACTATGTAAGTTTGTTGCACTGTTTGATTTTTGTATGCAACACTGCAAGTTTATGCTTTACCTCTGCTATTAAGAGCAATAGTTTTTCTGTTCATTTTTCCTCTTGCCTGTGTGTCTTGTGCTAGAATCCACTTGCTGCGCAACAGACTAAGGAGAGTCTTGATGACATAGTTGTGTCATTGGAGTTCAGCCTAAATTTTCCACAGAGGCATTCCCCATCTCGTTCTGGGGTCCATCTGGATCCCAAAAATCTGAGACCCCTTCCACACAGCTGTATAAAATCCACATTGAACTGGATTATATGGCAATGTGGACTCAGATAACCCAGTTCAAAGCAGGTATTGTGGATAATCTGCCTTGATATTCTGGGTTATAGGGCCCCTCGGCTCCCCGTTGGATGGAATAGGGGTCTCGGTTAAACCAAAGCCATCTGTCCCATGTCTACACTGTTATTTAACTCTTGGATTTGATGGTCGAAGCATTGAGGTCCCTGCCTTAAGATATTCTGGGGTCATAGAACATAGAATCATAGAATTGGGCCATCTAGTCCAACCTCCTGCCAAAAAGCAGGAAAATCTCATTCAAAGCACCGCATGGAACAAACCCAGAGAAGATAGAAGATGCCGCGATAGACTCGGGAGCAGGCCCGTAGCCAGGATTTCGTTTCGGGGGGGGGGGGCTGAATTTTTTTTCAGGGGGAGTTTCGGGGGGGGGGCTGAGTTTCGGGGGGGGCTGAGTCTGAGTGAAAGAGGGTCTAGCCTAGCAAACCTTTTGTATCATTACCCCAATACCCCCATGCATATGGGATATATTGAGTATGGTGATCAGATCATGATATGAATAAACATAACAGTTTAAATAATGCACCAGTAAGGCCTTTTCGCGAACCACCATGAGAATTTCGGGGGGGGGGGGCTGAAGCCCCTCGAGCCCCCCCCCCCCCCCCCCCCCCCCCCCCCCCCCCCCCCCCCCCCCCCCCCACCGAGGCCCCCCCCCCTGGCTACATGCCTGCTCGGGAGGATTTTGCAGTGTGGAAACGACGGATCTGAGGGATCGGGCTTGCTTTGGAAAGTCGTGGCCTAGCTTTCTCAAAGGTGGCTGGCCTTCCCCAATCCCAGGACGAGATATCTGTGTGTTGGGGTATGTGTAGACGGGGAAGAGTAATCTATGTGTATGGAGTGGGAGGGCTGAAAAGTCGGACAACAAAATAAAATGGCACTAAGTCGGATGACTACATAGAAGTGGATGGGCATGTGGGACGTCTAGGTGGGGATAGACTTAGGGACTCTAAACAATGGTTTCAAACTACAAGAAAGGAGATTCCATCCGAACATTAGGAAGAACTTCCTGACTGTGAGAGCTGTTCAGCAGTGGAACTCTCTGTCCCTGAGTGTGGTGGAGGCTCCTTCCTTGGAGGCTTTTAAACAGAGGCTGGATGGCTATCTGTCGGGGATGCTTGGAATGCAATATTCCTGCTTCTTGGCAGGGGGTTGGACTGGATGGCCCATGAGGTCTCTTCTAACGCTATGATTCTATGACGCTGTCAGTCTGATGGGTCAACACTGCAAGTCGCTTTTGGTGTGAGACACTTCACTGCAAGTCGCTTTTGGTGTGAGACACTTGGCCATCTGCAAGACGTGGCCCAGTGAACGTTGGATCATTTACCATTCTTTGAGCGACTTCTGTCATTTATTTATCTATTTATTTTTATTTATTTCAAATATTTGTATCCTGCCCTTCTCAACCCTGGGGGGGGGGGGCACCTCAGGGCAGCTTACAATTGGATGCCACTACATAGAAATAATACATACAATAATTACATATAAATGATGCATTAAATTAATTTAAAACTTAGTTTTTTTTAAAAAAACACATTAATAAAAAGTACTATACTGGCTGTCCAGCCTTATGTAGAAACGAATTCAGCGAGCACAACACAATCGGAAGCCTGTCCATAGTCCATTTTCCATAACATTATCATTAACATTGTCAAATATCTGCCAGCTATCCAAAGGCCTGGTCCTATAACCACGTTTTCAATGTCCTCCTGAAGGTGAGGAGGAATGTTGTTGACCTGATTTCACTGGGGAGCAAGTTCCATAGGCGGGGGAGCCACCACCGAGAAGGCCCTGTCCCTCTTCCCGCCAAGCGTGTTTGCTCAAAGGCGGGGCTGAGAGCAGGGCCTCCCCAACAGTTCTTAAACTTCGAGGTGTGATGTGTATGCTGGACCGGACCCCTGTATGTCCCAGCATGAGAAGCTGGAGCTGACAGACTGGAGCTCAACCCGCTCCTTTTTCGGTCAGCTTGCGCCAACGGGCCTCTGGAAGAGAAGCTGCTTTGAGGGAACTCCTGCTCCCAAAATCACCCAACAACTTGGGAAATATCCCTTTTGGGCTTCCCACTCCAAGTCTCCAACCTTTCCAGGTCACCATGACCACAGCAGGGTACAAACTTTGGGAAAGTCGGGGTGTGGTGTCATTTCCTAGCCTTGTCTTACTCAACTGCTCAGTATGTTTGGCATAAGTCTGCCCATGCAAAACAGGTGAACATAGCATTGAATGAAACATGCAGAATAATCACAGGATGTCTTAAACCTACACCTGTTGAGAAACTCTACAAGCTAGCTGGCATTGCCCCCCTGATGTGAAAGGGGAAATTGCTGCTAAATGGGTGAGACATAAGGTTGAACACTGTGAAAGTCACCCACTACACATGGCTACCAGCATCCTCCCAGTAGACTCAAATCAAGGAAAAGCTTTATGAGAACTACCACTCCTCTTGGCACACTCCCCCTTCCCCAACAACAGCAAGGGTATCCCTCTGGGCAGCTAGACCAGGAAATCCCAACTGGATGCCCCCCCCTCCCACGAGGGTCTTCCTCCAGGGGCAAATCAAGAATGGGCAACCTGGAAGTCCCCAAATAAACTCAGAAGCGGAATGGTCAGACTGTTGTATTTGCTTGCTGCTTTGTTGTTTACTGATGTGTTGTTGGGCTTGGCCTCATGTAAGTCCCCTTGGGGAGATGATGGTGGGGTATATATAATTTATTATTATTATTATTATTATTATTATTATTATTATTATTATTATTATCAAAAGACAACCTGGCAAAAACGGCACGACCTAAAAGAATCCCACACCTTGTGTGACTGTGGAGCAGGACAGACAACTCCGCATCTGTATGCTTGTCCACTGCGCCCTGCCTCATGTCCAGAGGAGGAATTATTGGAGGCTACAGGCAATGCCGTTGCTATTGCCCATTTTTTGGTCAAAAGATATGTAGCTTCCTGCGCACCTATTTTTATTAGTTTTATACTAATTTATGCTGTATGGCTGTATTCTAGCAGCATTCTGCAGTTGAAACATCAGGAGAAAATGCTGCTAGAACACAGACACGGAAACTACAAAGCTTTGGACAAATACACTGGCGACTTAGGACTTCCCAAACTTGTCGTGTCAGGCTGTCAAAGATCAGAATCAGGAATGGTCGGGAATGAGACTAGGAGTAGAGTCTCCCCTTACCCATGCCGAGGCAGTGGAAGCGCCGGGGGTCGCTGAGGGTGTAGGCGGCGGCTGTGCAGACAGGTGGGTGGCCCAAGGCGTGGACCCTGGCTGCCACCGAAGTGGCCGATCCGGACTGCTGAGGGGAGGGCGGCTGCGGCGGGTGACTGAAGGGTGCTTCTCCTCCTCCTCCGGTGGAGAAGTTGTGATGCTTCAGCAAAGGGATGGCGGCTCCTCCTGTTCCTCGGGCCGAGGAGGAGGAGGAAGCGTGTAGGTGCGAGGCCACGCAGAGCGGACACACGCAGAATCCGCTGCCCTTGCGCGACGCCCCTCCGCACCCGTGGACGCCGCTTCCCGCGGGGGGCATGGACATCACCAAGGGCGCGGGCACGCCCAGCGGGATGAGGAAGTCCTGAGCAGGGTGCTGGTGCGGGTGGGGAGGGTGCTCCGCCGGGGGCCGCGCCGAGTCCTTCACGATCAGCGAGTCCACGTAGAAGGAGCGCGACATGGCTGAGCTCCTCTTGGGACCCTCCTTCTGCCCCAGACCCGTCTCCGGGACTCCTCTTATGGGGAGCGCTGAACAAAGGGGACTCCAAACCCCCCTCCTTTTCCTCCTCTCTCTCTCTCTCTCGACCTCCCCTGGATCCTTGATGCCCCCCTTGTCTCGCCTCCTTCGCATGGGGATTTATAGCCACTCTTTTGACACGTGATCCTTGGAAGCCGGCGCGCGTCTCAAGCTCCTTATTGGGGAGCCCTCCCCTCCCCATTCCTCCCTCCTTCTTTTCCTTCTTTGCCCCTTTCTCCCGCCCTCGGAGGCTCTTTGGTGCGCTTCACCAAACAACGAGTGGGATGCCAAGTTGAGTTGGGTCCAAAGAGAGAAAGACGGTGGCACCTGCCTCAGCCTGGAAGCCACTTCCACCCGCAGCATCTTCTCTTCTCTCTCCACCGACTTCCGAAAGCATCTTCCCTTCTCGGACCTCTGCCTCCAGCTTCCTTTTTTCCTTCTTCCTCTTCCCGACTGGTTTTCTTCCCTTCGAAGCCTTCCCTAGCGGCTGCTTCTCTTTGATTTTACTCTTCGTGCAGAAGCGAATTGAAAATACAGTTCTAAAACCACAAACAAAGTTGCAAACTTGGCACTGTATTCGTTTTGCTTTGACCACTTGGCCACTTGGAGTGCCTCTATGAGAAGGTCCTCCATTGTGCATGTGGCAGGGCTCAGGCTACAATGTAGTAGGTGGCCTGTGGACTCCACTTTGTAGCCCCATTTCTTAAGGTTGGCTCTGCATCTTGCGGTGTCTGCTCCAACTCGTCCTTCCCGGTTTTAGCCTGCCACTTTTGGTCTCCCGCTTGCTGAGGTGTTCCTGTGAGCATCTCTGTAGATCTTAGGATTCCAATTAAGGTGGAATCAGGTGTCAAACAGGGATGTGTTGTCAAAGGCTTTCATGGCCGGAATCACTAATTGTTGTAGGAATCACTAATTTCCAGGTTATATGGCCATGTTCTAGAGGCATTTTCTCCTGACGTTTCGCCTGCATCTATGGCAAGCATCCTCAGAGGTAGTGAGGTCTGTTGGAAGTAGGGAAATGGGTTTATATATCCGTGGAATGACCAGGGTGAGACAAAGGACTCTTGTCTGCTGGAGCAAAGGATTCCCCAGTCAGGAAACAGCCGGGCTTTGAAGCTGCAAGGCTGTTTCCTGTTAAATGCTAATCAAAGTGATTAATTGCACATTATTCCACAGATATATAAACCCTACTTGCCTAGTTTCCAACAGGTCTCACAACCTATCAGGATGCCTGCTAAACGTCAGGAGAGAATGCTTCTGGAATATGGCCACACAGCTCGGAAAACACACAGCAACCCAGTGATTTTGCATCATCTGGATTTACATCCCATTCAATTCATCTGGATTTACATCCCATTCAATTCATCTGGATTTACATCCTGTTCCATTCAGCCTTAATTCAATTCAATTCAGATTGACTTCAGATTTTCGAAGTCAATTTTCCAGAGGTAAGTTAATAGGCGGGAGTTTCCAACAGACCTCACAACTTCTGCCATAGATGTGGGGGAAACGTCAGGAGAGAATGCTTCTTGAATATGGCCATACAGCCCGGAAAAATCACAACAACCCTTTTTGAAACCACTTCAAAAGCTAAGAAGCTACAACTATATCCTTGAAATTCCCGCTAAATCAATGGTGGGGAAAAAGCAGATTACATTTCCTCCTTCCCAGTGAAAAATCTTTGAGCTCAATTAGAGGGTTTTTTTTTCCTTCTTAGATGAACATTTTGGATCAGATTATAGGTTGGGCTTCAAAATGGTGTAGTGGTTTGAAAACTGAACCTGGGCTCAGGGCAAGACACATACTCTCAGCCTCAGAGGAAGGCAATGGCAAACACCGTTTGAGCAAACACTCACCTGGAAGTGAACTCCATTACCCACAGAGGGACCAAGCAGCAAGGAACAGGATTGTGTGGAAACTTATTTGGAGCAATTTCTGGCTCATCCTCCCTAATCTAATTCTGGATTTTCGCTCCCTTTCATTTCCTTCAGCCACCCAATCTCGACATTTGCAGGGAACCAGAGACTGAAAAATTCACACGTAGAATTAGAAAAGTTTGCTATCTTCACATTTTCCTTCTCTGCTCCTTTTTGTTTGGGTGCCGAAACTCTTATTTCTAAATGCTCATCAGAAACTAAGAAACTGTAAAGTTAGAAATATGATGTGATGTTCGTTTGTGGGATTAACACAACTCAAAAACCACTGGACGAATTGACACCAAATTTGGACACAAGACACCTAACAACCCAATGTATGTCCTTCACTCAAAAAAGTTGATTTTGTCATTTGGGAGTTGTAGTTGCTGGGATTTATAGTTCACCTACAATCAAAGAGCATTCTGAACCCCACCAACGATGGAATTGAACCAAACTTGGCACACAGAACTCCCTTGACCAACAGAAAATACTGGAAGCGTTTGGTGGGCATTGACCTTGACTTTGGAAGTTGTAGTTCACCTACATCCAGAGAACACTGTGGATTCAAACAATGATGGATCTGGACCAAACTTGGCATGAATATTCTATATGCCCAAATATGAATACAGATGGAGTTTGGGGGAAATAGACCTTATCATTTGGGAGTCGTAGTTACTGGGATTTATAGTTCACCTACAATCAAAGAACATTCTGAACCCCACCAATGATGGAATTGAACCAAACGTGGCACACAGGACTCCCATGATCAACCGAAAACACTAGAAGGGTTTAGTGGGCATTGACCTTGAGTTTGGGAGTTGTAGTTCACCTACATCCAGAGAAGCACTGTGGACTCAACAATGATGGGGCTGGACCAAACTTGGCAGGAATATTCCATATGCCCAAATATAAACACAGATGGAGTTTGGGGGGAAATAGACGTTATCATTTTGGAGTTGTAGTTACTGGGATTGATAGTTCACCTACAATCAAAGAGCATTCTGAATCCCACCAGCGATAGAATCGGGGCAAACTTCTCACACAGAACCCATATGACCAACAGAAAATACTTAAGGCCATCCAGTCTAACTCCCTTCACCAGGGCGAGAAAACGTAAACAAAGCTCTCCTGACAAAGAGCCATCTAGCCATAGATATAGATATATATGATTCACACAGAGAGAGAGATATAGTATCACAGATTTGAAAGGGACCTCTAACGAAGGACAATAAGTATGTTGCATGTTCCAGAGTAGGCAAACCAGACAATCTCTACATCAACACTGACAAAGAAACAGCAAGAAGTGCCGTTTACCCACAAGCATAAAGAAATTGCATATATTAGAAACCAACACTTTCTCATTACTTTATTTTCCAGATTACCAGACTGGGCCACAGCAACGCTTTTCAGGGGATGGCTAGTCTATACAAATAAAAATGTAATGTTCATTTGTGGGATTAACATAACTCAAAAACCGCTGGACGAATGGACACAAAATTTGGACACAAGACACCTATCAGGTCAACCAGGCATGTGGGGGGGGGGGGGGCGCTTCCGCCCCCCCCCCCCCGAAATTCTCATGGTGGTTCTCGAAAAGGCCTTACTGGTGCATTATTTAAACTGTTATGTTTATTCATATCATGATCTGATCACCATGCTCAATATATCCCATATGCATGGGGGTATTGGGGTAACGATACAAAAGGTTTGCTAGGGTAGACCCTCTGTCACTCAGACTCAGCCCCCCCCCGAACCAAACTCAGCCCCCCCTGAAACAAAATCCTGGCTACGGGCCTGTCATGAGTGACCATCACTCATAAAAACCTGAAAAAACACAACAGAAGAGACTTTAAAAGCCTAAATAAAAAATATGCAAAACCACACACACACATATATGCAAACACACATATACACAAATATATACATACACATATATACACACACAAAACACATATACATAAACTGGGCCACAGCAATGCGTGGCAGGGGATGGCTAGTAAATAAATAAATTTGTTCCTAACAGTTCAAAGAGCTATCTAGGTATATCAGTCTAACAGCTGAGAAACCTAAGTGCCTTGTATGAATATTAGTGGATATTTAGCACTAAGGACTCAAGCGAGTTTTTAACTCTTATTTCGAAGACCATATTTTATAAAAGGTTATGATCTCTAACAAGGTGATGTCTTTCCAATAGCTTATGATTGTTCCAAATTGTGTGAATTCATTGTATTGTCGAAGGCTTTCATGGCTGGAATCACTGGGTTGTTGTAGGTTTTTCCGGGCTATATGGCCATGTTCTAGAGGCATTTTCTCCTGACGTTTCGCCTGCATCTATGGCAAGCATCCTCAGAGGTGTGAATTCTGATTAATCTCCAAAAGAGTCACACCCAAAAGCCTGTGGAGATTCCTGGTTTTCCCAAAAGGTTCTGAATGCCATTTTCCAAAAATGTTGAGGCCTGCTCCTAGGATTATTATTGGAGCACAAATTCAGAAAATTGCATTGCTCTGCTTTCTTACATATGGATAATTGGCTATCATGGTTTTCTTTGGGTAAGCAGATGGTGCATGTTCTGTATCTCAAAATCTAGAGCTGATAGGGGCAAACGAGTGCCATTTTTGGAATCTGCGGGTTCATTATACCCAGAAACAGGCCTAACATTTGAGGCACCCAAATGTGTGTTGACCTAGTAGTGCCTGCCTTGAGGATTTCAGCCTGGCTTCTGAGTTCAGGGTGAGGAGGTAAGGGCGATTCGCACTCCTTCCCAATGTGGGCTCTTCTGCCTTTTCTTTTATGGGGTGGGAGAGAAGAGGGGAAGAAGGAAGGGGTGTTTTTTGTCAGCCTGGCAATTAGTTCCATACACAAAGCTTCTGGGCCAAAACGGAAGACTTTCAAGTCGGGCTTTGGCGATGGGTGCGGGGCGGGCCTTCAGGCCGAAACCTTAATGTGAAGCGAAAACGCCGGCCGGGAGGCGCCTTTGATCTCCCCCAAGTTCGCCCAGGCGAGCAGGACGCGCGAAAATCGGCTCAATGGCGCAAAAGGCGCAGCTCGGCCAGGCCTGAGCATTTCAGATCGCATTAGGAGACACTTGGAGGACGATTTGCGCTTTATGGGAGTTTAAGAGGCGGCTTAAAGGGAAGAGTTGAACCGAGGAGTGGATCGTGTCAGGCAGCAGATAGTTTGGGTTGCTGCCGAATTTTCC